AATTCACCAGAAAAAAAGAGGCTGCATAATCAACTTGCTTTGGGAAAAAGTAAGTATTTTGAACACAGAAACCGGCTTTAAATTTTTTTTATTACAATTAATATTACACAAAAGAAAGTTCATTTCAATCAAAATAACTCATGTTTACATCATATTTATAAACTGTACAATAAAATATATAAAATGTTTTCATATTTCATACTTTAATCATCTTCTTCTTCCTCTTCATCACTGATCACATACTTCTTATGCTTTTTATTTGCTTTATCATCATCTTCTGCTTTTCTCTTTCCAGAAGGTTCACCTTCCTAAACAGAAACAATTTTAAACATCTAGAAGTTAATGGAGAACATTTCTTTTTCTTTTTTAAGTTATTATTATTATTTTTTGTTTGGAGAGGTTTTTGCTATCGGGTGTGTGTGCTCACCAGAAAGAGAGACAGAGAGACAGAAAGCGAGAAATCACCCCCCAGGGGGATGGCCATGTCGCAATCCCTTCTCCTCCATTCTCCTCTCGGGATCTTGGGCACACACACATGCATGCACATATGCCTGGCGTGAGTTTAAGCCACTGGGTCCGGGACTCGAACCACAGTCAACTACATGGGAGTTCAGTGACAAAGCCATTACGCTAACTGCTGGTCCCAACAGAGAATGTTTCTAAGATGATTTACAAAAGCAGCTCTGAATGATCCTCTAAAAAAGTAAAACAAAAACAAAAACAAAAACTTATAAAAAGATTTATTCAATGTTACTTATTATTATTATTATTAAAACTTTTGCTATGGGACACATGTGCTCTCCAGAGAGAGACTAGGGATGGGGAGGTGGGCAGGTGAGGGAGAATGAGAGAGCAAGCTGCCAGGTCTGGAACTTGAATCAGTTGGCCATGTGAGAGTCCAGTGCCTGGACCACCCCGCCACCTGCTGGCCCCCAGAGGAACTTCTAGTAACACTCAGCAGATGAATAGAACCAGTGGGCAAAGTCACGCCAGTTTTCAAACCCACAGGTAAAGAAGCTTTCTAAGATGACCGCAGTACCAACTAACCAAAAACTCCCAGGTCAAGCCCCAGCAGAGGGTGAAGGGAGCCATGCAACCTCTGTCTCTCAGGTGATTTCATGCACCCTATGCCAAAAATCTCTGTTAAAAAAAAAGGAGTAACATCTTTGTCAGGGGAGGCAAGGAAAAGGGTGTTGGAGGCCCTAAGAGAGTATTTAGGTGGGGAGGGAAGGTGGCAGTTCCTGTAAAGACAGCTGGAGGTTATACTCAAGAGTTTTTTTTTTTTTTTTTTTTGGAGAGGTTTTTGCTATAGGGCACGCATGCACACGTGCCCAGCATGAGTCTAAGCCACTGGGTCCAGGACTTGAACTGCAGTCAACTATATGGGAGTCCAGCAACACAGCCATTACGCTAACTGCTGGTCCCTCAAGAGGCATTTTTTTAAGAGAGATTTTTGCTATAGGGCATGTGTGCTCGCCAGAGAGTCAGAGACAGAAAGCGAGAAACCACCCTCAAAGGGAGATGGCCACACCACAATCCCTTCTCCTCCAGTTTCCTCTTGGGATTTTTCTTGCATGCATGCATGGACATGTCCAGTGTGAGTTTTAAGCCACCAGGTCCAGGACTTGAACTGCGGTCGATTATGTGGGAGTGCACTAACGTAAACATTACGCCGCTTTCTGGTCCCCCCAAGAGGCACTTTGAAGTCCAGTAGTTACAAGCTAGCATCTGCCCAGCCTAGAAGGTGGCTGATTTTAAAAAAAAAAAAAAAACAAAACAAACAAAAAACCCCCTAATTTCTGAGAATACAAGGAATAAACAGAAGACCCATGGCACTTCTCGGTTTTCATTTACAGTTTCTGCCTGCCAGGAAATAAACAGCATCTGCTTAT